ACCCTCGGCGGGAGCGCCACCACGCTCCCAAGCGGCGCACTCTCCAGTGCGCCACCGGGCCTGCCCTGACATGCTCTTCTTTTAAAGCCCTCAGAACCACGCTCATGACCACCATTATTAATCCATTCATTAGGGCATGGTCATCAAAATCTAATCACTTCTTCAATGCCCCACCTTTCAATTACCATAATCGGATTTCCCACCTCAACAGTTACAGTGGGGATTAAGCTTTAATGACTTTGGGGGGGCCACTCAATCCACTGTACTACATTACATAGGCATGACCGATCAACTTAACCAGCAGCCCCTTTCCCCTCCCAGGAGGTTAGGGGGTGGAGCTCAATGCCACAACCCTCCAATCCTGCCTTGGTCTGGGTGACCAGACCCCATCCTGAAGCTGCCTAGGGGCTGCCATCCATCAGTCAACTCATTAGCATAAGAAAAGACGCTTATCAGTCTGAAGAGTTCAAGGGTTTTACGAGTTGTATGCCAGGAAATGGGAATGGATACCAAATATTGTATATATTTCACAGTATCACAGTTACTGTACAAAACAAAGGGACTTTGCAGTGGGGAAACTATCCTGGATTACCTGGATGGGCTCAATGTAATGACAAGTTTTCTCAAGAATGGAACAGGAATAGAAGAGAGTCACAGGTGTAGTGGGGAACCCCGAGCATTTTCTGATTGTTAAACTTGCCCCCTTCCACTGGAGAAACTTTTAGAAATTTTATGCTTGGCTGTCTTAATCGCGAACTTCAGCTTCTGCAACCCAGAGCTTGCTTCCTGCACTGATGCAAATTAGGCTCCAGAGCTGACAAATGGACTGTGTCCCATAATCAGCCAATACGAATTAGCAGGGCTACCGTCCCTCATTTACATAAAAGGACCTGAATGGGAACTTGGGCGAAAAGTTAGGGCGGGAATTTTGGCTATAAAGACTGCCTCTTCCCTTCGTTCCGGGAGACATGAGCCTAATGCTCAGGCTCTCCTTGCTTGCAAGCAATGAAGCGCTGTAACACCAGAAAGAGCTGACAACTATTAAAAGAGCTGTAAAACCGACGTTGGTCTTGGATTCCTCTGTGCGAGCGCCTCACAACACAGGGAGATGTGACTACTGAAGAAGTCCGAGTAATGTGATGAAGACTCAACTCACCATTATTGTTTTGGAGATGTAGGAAGGGGCCACAGCCAAGGAATTCAGGCAGCCTCCAGAAGCTGGGAAAGGCAAGTAAATGGATTGTCCCCTGGAGGCACCAGAAGGAACACAGTTCTTAATCTTAGCCCAGTAGACTTATCAGACTTCAGACCCCCAGAGCTGTAAAATAATACATTTGTGTCGTTTTAAGACACTAAGTTTGTAGTAACTTATTAATAGCAAGAGAACACTAATACAACTGCTAATATATAAAAGTTGGAAGTTTTCACATAAAAATCTATCAATACCAAAGATGAGTAGCAGCTGCCCCACTTTTAAAAAGGACATATTTCCCACTTTACTGCAGTCCTCCCTTTTGTCTACCCCTGGCCATCTATACCCATTTACAAGACCTACCTAGTCACTCTAAGTATTTGGGTTTTGGAACCATGCACTGAGAAACACTGTCTCCCAAACAGTAATGGAGTTCCAGCAATTAAAATAGAAGCAAGTAAACCCAACCTCCCTAAAACGATTGACCCTGTCAATTATAACAACCCTTTTGTTTGTATAATGTGACTAAATTTCTCTAAGCCTAAACTTCCTAATCTGCACAACGAGGGGAAATTTACAGTACAGTCCCCTACAGTTGTTCTGCGGACAAAATGAGATACTGAATGAAAAGCGCTTCCCCCATAGCCTGGCTCATGTTAATCCCTCAATAAACCATAGCGGAAGTTAGTGTACTACTGCCTCTCCCTCCACTGCACATTAGATAAGGTCTCCAAAAATGAATAATAACTAATATTTTATTGAATATGACTACATGGCAGGCACTGTGCTAAATATTTCATATGCATTATCATATTTTCATAAGGCAGGCAGCATTACTAGTCTTATTTTACTTACATGGATACCAAAGTTTAGGCTAGTTGGGCTGAGCCCAACGTTAACCCCAGGCAGCTGGACTCTAGAGCCTGCACTGTGGACACCATGCTGAAAGAGACGGTAGCCACAGATGCCATCCCCCATGGAAATGCATTTTGTTGGGCCTACAGCACTTTTTAAATCAGAATTAGCGAGGGTAAGCCGGCCGCGGCCTGCAGCGGCGAGACAGCAGCCCGCGGCCCCGCAGCCGCCGGCCCGGGAGCTGATCCAACCGTCGGTGAGCGAGCTGTCCCGGGCCGTGCGGACCAACATACTGTGCACCGTGCGCGGCTGCGGCAAGATCCTGCCCAACAGCCCCGCGCTCAACATGCATCTGGTCAAGAGCCACCGTCTGCAGGTGAGCTCGACGCGGACGGCGGCCGGGCCCGGCCCCGACAAAGCGCCCGGGGCGTGGGGGCGCGGAGCCCCGGCCTCAAGGGGGATGCAGCGGCGACCAGTGCGTGCGCTGCACCCAACTGTCCAGCCTCTGCCTGCTCCCAGTCGGAGATGGCTTTTGAACTCATGAGTCGGGCCAAAGAAACACGGGAATCCCAGCTGAGGGAATTGAAGAGCTAGTGCACACGAATACGTAGTAGCAGGGAACCACTGTGTCATGCCAGTCGAGTGTCAGGCTCGGACAAGCCCGTGCTTACTGACCTCGTATTTCGTGCCAGGCACGGGCCAAGGCGTTTTACACATTTTGTCTCATTAGTTCTCACAGAAACTTGGCAAGGTACGTATCATCCCCTTTATATTGATTAGATAAACAGATTGTGCAAGCTAGGTGGTGCAGTGATTTAAGCCTGGATCTCTGGTTCTGAAGCCCGTGTGCTTTCCACCGCACCCACGATACCTTCTTTAGGTCCTGCTCTGGTGTTGAAAAGGAGCGGCAGGTTTGGCTCTAAGCATCGTCAGTTAACAAGTTTCGCAGTGTTGGTAAGATCAGTGTTGCTGAGGAATGAGACCTAAGGGAGATTTCTTCCCTGGATCAATTTTAAAAAGGAATGCTGTAGGGCCGACCCGTGGCTCACTTGGGAGAGTGCGGTGCTGATAACACCAAGGCCACGGGTTCGGATCCCATATAGGGATGGCCGGTTTGCTCACTGGGTGAGCGTGGTACTGACAACACCAAATCAAGGGTTAAGATCCCCTTACTGCTCATCCTTAAAAAAAAAAAGGAATGCAGCATAAGGTGACAGTCGTCGGAACAACCCCTCCACATCGTTGTGTAAAAGGGGGCTGTGATTTTCAACCTTTGGTGGAAATCTGTGGGAGGCTTATTAAAAATCCAGACATCCGGCCCCACCCACACCTATTAAATCATATTCTCAGACATTACAATAGGAAGTTTCCTTTCACCACTTCTTAAAGTCTCTATGCCAGCAGTGACGTAATTCAAAAGCATGTCGCTGAAAACAATTTTGTGAATATGTAGTTTTTGATGGTCTGATTTGACTCGGAAGCAAATTTAGATTTCCCAGAGTATTATATGTTCTGCCTATCCATCAGGTAAATCCTCCTTGGAAACTTCCTTACAATCAGGCTTCTGATACGAATTTAAAAGCAGAAAATTTGAGGTTACAGTCTCTAGTAGGACAGATGTGTTTTCCATGAAGGGTGATTCGCTTTTACCACCAGCCGAACGCAGATGCAACCACGTTCTCATATGAAGATTAGGGAGCCCAGTCAGGAAATAGTACATGGAGGTATGCTAAGAAAGACTCTGCAGGTGCGACTGCATTGTTCCTCAGGAGAGTTTGGGGTTTCTTCCAGCAAACAAGTGCAGCTTTGGGAATGGTTTTCAATCTCTTGTTTTCTCTTTCATACTAAATTTTAACTAAATCCTTTTTTTTTTTTAACTATATCTTAACTTGGGTAGATGAACTATATATTTGTAGGAATTCTACAGCCTAATTCCTTGGTTCTCTGTAGCTTATACACCACAGCCATCACCTCCCTCTGGTATTGTTCCCTCACTGATAGAAGGCTACAGCAGACCTTACATGTCTGGGCACAAAAATGAAGCTGCTGCCAGTCTGTCCAGGACCCTCCTTGGTTCTGTCTGAACATCACTCTAGCAAGCACTTCTTAACAGTTTATATTGTTCTTTTCTCTGGAATTGCCGTTAGGAGAGCTGCATCTCTCACGACTTTGTTAAGCATTGAGATGCCTGCCACTTACTCCTCAGGATTGGCTAGTATAAAATAGGTTTTTGGATTTTTTTCTTTTTCTTTTTTTGGTTTGTATTAAGGTTGCTCCAGTGATCTAGGAAGAAAACTGAGAAGAGTCAAACTTTCTGCTTTTCAGCATTTTCAGTTCAGAAAGGGATCTAGAGTGTACTATGCTGACTTCAGAGAAGAGAAATCTGAAAAATGAATCTGGCTAGAACTGAAAGAATGACTTCACACAGCTTCTCGGCAAGGGAGAATACTGACACCCTGAAATGCTAAGATCTGACTGTCAGAATTTTTTTGAAAGATGACCGGTAAAGGGATCTCTTAACCCTCTACTTGGTGTCGTCAGCCCTACGCTCTCCCAAGCGAGCTAACCGGCCACCCCTATAATGGGATCCGAACCCGTGGCCTTGGTGTTATCAGCACTGCACTCTCCCGAGTGAGCCACAGTCCGGCCCCATAACGGGTTTATTTCTAATTATGTTTTTAGAATATCTAAAGTTCAGGAATTCACAAGATACCAGTGCATAAAGTATAATAGGCCTCAGGAGGAGAAATATGTTTGAGCAAATAGAAATTCTGACAGTCAGGGCCAGCCCGTGGCTCACTTGGGAGAGTGTGGTGATGATAACACCAAGGCCACGGGTTCGGATCCCTATATAGGGGTGGCCGGTTAGCTCGCTTGGGAGAGCGTAGGGCTGACGACACCAAGTAGAGGGTTAAGAGATCCCTTTACCGGTCATCTTTCAAAAAAATTCTGACAGTCAGATCTTAGCATTTCAGGGTGTCAGTATTCTCCCTTGCCGAGAAGCTGTGTGAAGTCATTCTTTCAGTTCTAGCCAGATTCATTTTTCAGATTTCTCTTCTCTGAAGTCAGCATAGTACACTCTAGATCCCTTTCTGAACTGAAAATGCTGAAAAGCAGAAAGTTTGACTCTTCTCAGTTTTCTTCCTAGATCACTGGAGCAACCTTTTTTAGCAGGAATTTTGAACAATCTCAGTGAGAACTATCTGTTTTTTTCTTGTCAAGCAGGCTCACTTTTCTGTCTTGTTCAGCCTTTCTAACCATGGTGCCCAACAGCCCCTGAACATCTGCTGTCTTGGTAGAAAGGATTTTGTTTAATGAAGGTGGCCTGTGTGACAAATTGCCATATCCATATGGTGGTGCCCCCATGTGGCAAATCTGTACCTCACTCTGGTTACTGCGTAGAAGGCTCTTCAGTCTCTTCAGTTCAAACTTTTTTTTTTTTTTTGGCAGCAGGCAGGTATGGGGAGCTGACCCCTTGACCTTGGTGTTACAAGGCCATGCTCTAACCAACTGAGCCAACTGGCCAGTCCCAAACACTGTTCTTGAACTTGATGTTCTCAAGGTATTGGAAGGGGGAAGAGAAAGGCATGGGGACAGGGGCTGACTGGGAAGCTCATTTGGTTTTGAGAGGCATTTGTGTGTTGGCCAGTGATGTCAGGAACAGTCAGGTGTGTGCACCTACCTTCTGCCTGAAGCTACTCTGAGTATGTCTGATTGGCAGATTTTCTAGTTAGCGGAAATTTTTATTGCCTTGGTTATAGCTACTTGCATAATTCTAATTTCTTGTTTTTATATTTTCTAGACTATGATAATCTTTATTCCCTTCCCCATTAGTTGCTGTATAGTTCTCATTTTATTCTAATCTTCACAAAACACCTTGCCCCCAACCAAATATGAACTTCTTAACATAAATGATTAACAAACCCTTCTGAAGAATGATGGGTCGGAATTAGGAATTGAATTGTAAGTGCAGAGTATGTGCTGCCTTTTGGTTTTATGTGGGTTCTTAAGATACATGTCCACATTTCATGTCCTATAAGGAAACCTGGAATATCCTAGCCTAACCTTGCCTACAGTGGGATCCATGGAGAAATGAAAGCTATAGTGACCCAGGGAAAGAAAGAGCAGGAGTAAGTAGGCATTTCTTGATTGCTAGAGATTCCTTTGTTCCTAGCATTTGAAAGCTGTGAAGGGGACAGGAGGGCACTTAAAGAACCTCTTATCAAGCAACATTTATATTTTTAAAACATGGCTTAGAGGATTTTGTATTATGTTCGGGCCAGAGGTTTCCTTTTAATAATTTGCCAAAAAAATTTTTTTTTTTTTTTTTTTTTTTTTTTT